GCACAGACACCTGTGTTACACAAGCCAAACAAAGGGTCTCAACATGTTCCAGTATGGATCTTTTGCTTCCAAAGAAGCCACAGAATGCTGGGTTTTATGCTTTTGGTTATGAGGGAACTAGAAAATTTAATACAGTAATTGCCTATGCAAAGGACTGCAGCATGACTGTGACCTTAAATTGCCAAATCCATCACCAGCATGGGCAGGGTGAAATCTCACATCTTGTGCTTCAAAGCCAAGCTACCCTGCAGCACCCACAGAACCTTATCCAGCACAGGAGTCCTAAACTTTCTTACATTGAGCTGGAGGAGCCCTGCTGTGCTGCAGGAAAAGCTGGGCACTGACAGGGATGCAGGAGGTAGGGACTAAAGCACCTTCCCACATGGATTCCAGTGAGAGCTGCTTTGGGTGAGTTCAAGGTTATCAAACTTGTCTTTGAATCAGGATTGTACTGGCCTGCACTAGATCTGAAATCAGTGTGGCCATAGCTGGGACTGCCTGCTAAACTTGAAGCAAAACATTCACAGTTTCACTCCCTGGCAACCTCCATTGCAGGTGTACTCTGAACTAAAGCAGGAGAGCATCAGCTGCCCTTACAGAGCTTCAGCAAGGAAATTACTTGGACACTTAGCCCTCGGCTTTGACTGCTGTAACACTGCTCACAGAATATGAAAGTCATGCTTGGCCACTCAAGTGGAAAGCTCATGAAGGCTCACTTCTCAAACTGCTCTAGCTAAATCCACAAGGTCAGTGTTTTTATGGTCTCTTATTTGGGCCAAGCATGACCGTACCCAGTCAGCAGGCATGGCACAGCAGCTGAGCCTTACATGAAGAAGCACAGGTACATGTGACAGAACCAAGCACTTTTCACTAAGAAAAGCTTATTTAAAAATAAACCACAATCAGGAAGGTCCAACAGCAAATGCACCTTTGATCAGTTTTCAAGGAGATCGTGAATATTCTTTCACAAATCCAAAATGCCCTAATAAATTCCAGTTTTAATTTCTGGGTTTTATTATTAAACTAAGGAGAAAAATAAAGGACAAAGCAGTGTAATTAGATGAATATGCACACAACAAATGGCAGGGAGTAATTTGTTTCTGTTTTAATCAATTCAGCATCAAATGACCATTCCATTGGAATACCTTCAGAGAAGCAAACAGGCAGTAAACACAGAGATTTGACAACACAGCAATCTGCTGACTGTCACTTGGATATTCATAAGGAACAAATCGCTCCCACCTTTAGATTTTATATCATTTGTTATAAGAAGTCATAAATAATTGAAAGTCACATGATAAATTATTCAGCTAAGCCCACAGTTTCCAAGGAATCCTAGCATGAGTCTGGATTAAAGCTATAATGCAAGTCAGATGCAGAATTTGAGCTGACATCCCACCGTTTCCACACAGTGGAGCAGTCCAGGGAGTTTGGCACTTGTCAGCGTGTCCTTTCCACCACAGGGACACATAAATACCTTGTGAATATTTATGAACTAGCAGCCCCTATTGCCTACTGTGTGCTTCAGCTGCCTGCCCATATTTGGGTATGAATCAGTGACACTTAACCCAGAGCTTCCCTCGGCACAATTGATCAGGACATTCATTTCCTTTAAGTGAAGGCGCTGTCCTTCAAGGCTGGTGCTGAACTGACCTCTGCTGTAAACGATTTTGTCTTTAACCATAATTACCTGTTATCACTAACAGGTATTCCGGGTGACAAGCATAGAAGTGATTGCAGTAATATTGCTTAGATGTAAAAATACTGCTACAATCCTGCTACTTTCTTTATAACTTAACCAAATTATCTGCTTTGGTAGGTCTAGGGCCATAATGCCCAGGATCAAATGAATATCAAATAATCCACAAACTAAGACATCCTGTCTAAACTGAAACTAAGAAGCTTGCTTTTGTACAGATGTGTCTCTTGTGCTTAACTGACTTTAGGGTCTAAGATATGAATTCTGATTCCAGTTTCTTCCCAAAGAAAGGGAGAAATTGATAATTTCTCTCCTGTATAGATTGTTTAGTACATGAGAGACTTTGTTCATAGTGAAGAACCTCCCAGGTTCTGACCTCTCTCTGTGAGGGCATTCTTTTTGTTCTCTACTCTGCTGCTTTCACATAAATTGCAGGGACTTCTATCTGAGATATTTAACCCGCTGTCATACTCAATGAGAATCATACAACAGGAACAAAAGTTCTCCCACCAAAAAATAAAATTTACAAAAAAAACAACAAAGAAACTCAACCCAAACAAACAAAAACAACCAAACCACAAAAAAAAAAACACAAAAAAAACCCCAAAAACAAAAAAACAACCAAACAAACAAAAACAGATAGGAAGTTAAAGCAACAGGCAAGGAACGTGTCATAGAATGCAACACTTAGAGGGACTTGTAGTAAGGGATCTACATATGCTACTATATTGTGGTATACTTCATAACCTTATTGTTTTTATAGATTAGGCAAGTCAACCATACCATACTGATCTGCTATGGCATGAGAAAGTCAATAATCCTGATCCCATCCATACAAAGAACTGGAGAGAAGCATGAAGCTGGCATGTACTTAGAAAGGCAGGCACTGCTGGCCTGAGCAGCCCTGAAAGTCTTATGTGAAATAAATTGGTTCGTTTGAGGTATGCCCCAAATAGTCAACTCTCTCTTCTTCCCAGCTGAAGCAACTCTGTGCATAACACTTCACTCACCACAGATAGGTACCTTGAGAGGTAACAAAATACAAGGCACAACCTAAAACTGTTCCTAGAATCATGCAGAAGTTTTGCTCAGCATACTTGAAATTACACAATAACCACTGCTAGTCTCTGCATTACCTCATTCTGTAGACATTGCACTAATGGAAAATTGAGAAAGATATCCCAGAACAACTCCTCTATCAATATGCCACTTTTATTCAGTTAGTATTCCTATAATTTATTCCTATGGTTTTTTTATAGTGCTTTAGACTATTGCAGTTTTCAGTAAATTATCTGTGTCTGAGTTTACACTGTACATAACATTCATCTCAGCATGTTCTAGATCATTTCTGAAACAATAAAAATAAAATTCTAATTCTGCAGAGATCACAGTTGTGTTGTTTGTGGGTTTATTTCTGTGAAAGTGCATTCAGAGCTGTATTAAGATCATTCTTTTCAACCACGTAAATTTTCATTCAAAAATATCTATAACATAAGCAGCAACCAGTACAGTTCCATATGATATTATCTGAAAGCAGTATTGAAATGTGACTCTAGCATATTTTACCACCTTAAGAAACCAGCATTTCTAAATCCTACACTCTATGTCATTATAAAGATAATGATAAATAACCTGTGTTTTCGTGCTCAGCTGGGACAGTATTTTTGTCATCCACTAGCATATAAGTGGCAGAAATTTGGGGGGATCCCCTTGTCGATTCATGCTCGAGGCAAGAAGGAATGAACTGTGATAGGCGAGCACCCCCTCGTGATGGAAGGCTTAAACACACCATTGCAAATCTCAGAGCACTTGGGCTGGTTAAATGCTGGTATTTCTATTGCACTGTGGTCACAAAAAGAGACTGATAAAAAAATTAAATCTAAAACCAAAAATATGTCATTTGATATTCAGTCTCTGTCCTGAAGATAGTAGAGGACACACTCAGGCTCATCCCTAACAAAATGCAGGCATGAAATGCTGCAGGCAGTGAATGTTTGTTCAAGGCAGTCACTCAAAATTCTTAAGAAAAAAATGAAAATAAACACTTGAAACCTTATGGCATTATGGCATGTTTCTTGTTTTTGAGGTTTGGCAAGTTTTGCTATAGTAGCAAATGTGTGAGACCCACATTTCACTATACTGTTAATATTCTAAGAATGAGTTTAGTAACAGCTGAATTCTGAAGTGTCCTAGAAGCTTGGGTAGTTCCTGTCATCCCAATTTTTTAAACATAAAAATAAAATGAAAAATACTGGTTTATTTGTTTTAATGAAATATTTCATTAAAGAACATTTTTTTGAGAAAAGTGTAGCTAAGGCTATGAGAGAGTCAAAACTGTTTAAGCCATGTGAAAAAAAGCAAAGAGCTTAGAGGACACTAACCCTAATCCAAGGACCTGAGAGGCTGCAAATTGATGTAGAAGGAAAACAATTGACAGAATTATGTCTTGGTTACACTCTTATTAAAGCAATATTGCCAATAATGGGTAGCCATAAGTAGCAAAAGTGAGGCACAAATGAGTCAGAAAAAGCCCTTTAATCATGTAAGTACTCAGTAATGTGTCCATCAATAAGGATGGGTAAATCCCCCCTTTTTAAAGGACTTACATATTTCTGGCTGAGGAACAAGTTGATTAGATGTTTCTGACTATAGACAAAGAGCCTTACAAATATTTTTGAATGAAACAAAAATATTTATAGTTAAATTTCACTTGGTGTAAGTATCAAGGTAGACAAACAGTTCTACACAACAGGAAGTCCAGCCACAAACCCAACATCAAACCCAGACACAGGAATGTCAACACTCTGAAAATGTTCTTTTGTCATTGTGGCTTCAGGATCCCGATGGGTTTATCAATAAAACTGATGAGACTTCTCCAAATTCAGGCAAGCTAAAAAAAAAATCAAGATTTGCTGGCAATTAAAAAAAAAAGTCAAACCTTCTACCAGTCAGGTATACAGCTAATAGAAAGGTGTTTACTGGAATTTCTGTACCTCTTCCTTCTCAGGTTGCATTCAGAGAACTCAGTTATAAAATTAGGTCATCAATACTGTACATACCTTTTTTTGAGACCCCTCCAACAATCTGAGTCTTTACAGTAACACAGAATCAATTCCTGAAAGCATCCAATTTAGCGTTATCAAAAAAAAATCTGCTTCTACCTTACATCCTCACCAAAGTTAGATAAGGTTGCAACATAACACCAAACTGAGAGAAGAGACACAAATACAAAGAAAATATCTATAATGCAAGAAATATGTTCCAAACATTTTTATTTAAAGCATGTGAAGGGTTTACTTACAATTCTTCTCCTTGTTTTGCTTTTCTGTCATTAACCAAATACACACTTCCAAAGCTTCCATTGCCAAGTTTCCTCTGAATAGTGTATCTTCTTGCAATCACAGCATCTGAGCAAGCAGAATTAAATCTGGCAACAGTGACATGCTTAGCAGTTTCTTGAAATTTCAGCATTTCTCTGTGCAACAAAAACTACACAAATTTCTCAAGGATGTAGCTTTCAAATCCTTTTATTCTTCCATGGATGTTCACAGAAATCACTTGAAACAGAAAAATATTGATTTGTCAATGTATATTTCTTATTAAACTTCTTGTTTAATTCTGTGGCAGTGTTTACAGTACCCAGCTTGCAGGAAACACAAATTAAGTGGAATCATTAGCTGCTAAACTGCAGGCAGCAGACTTGATAAACAAACTCCAGATAATGCAGAGGTGACATAGTCAGTCTTCCTCTAAATGAACCTTAAATTAATTCACTGAACTGATAGCACAGTTCCCCTAGATATAGCACTCTTCCTCACCACCTGTCTTTATACCACCACAGTACCTGACACCAAAAATATCTTCATTTCAGGATGCTTATTTCAAGATTTTTGTACATATTGAAGCATAACCTCCACTCTTAATTTGAGTTCTCTCCCATCTCTGTTTTCTCTGCTCTTTCATTTACCCCTCAGATTTCACCATCTGTTCCTATGCTGACCTCACAGCTTCACCATGACTCACTAGCAGTATCTTCTGCAAATTAGTTTCACAGAAAATCTGCAAGACTTCCAATAAAACCCAACTCTGCCTAAAGTTCATTTCTCCATCACTGTGCCCTTTCATGACTCCCCTTTCCAACCTTTCCAACAAGTCGGCTTTGGTTGGGAATTCTTGTCTAACTGAGGTCCTAATTCTGCAAACATAAGGACTGCAAAGGCCAAGCTCTGGCATTTCTATGGTTCTCAGTAGTTCAACACGAGCTTAGAGTAACTTTGTTTACTCAGCCTTCCTCATTCCAAATGAAAAAGGGGAGATGTTTCACTGTACATAACAAAACAATATTGTTTTCATTACTTTATATAATGCTACATGCATCCTTTTGCTGGAAGGTCCTTTGGAACAAACAAAGGTCTTGCAAGATCACTGTTGCTATTGTTACCATCCACCAGCACTGCAGAGCAGCAAGCCCACACTGGCCTTGCTCACCACATCATTTCAAGGCCAAGGCAAGCACATAAACAGGATTTCCTTGTCGCGATGGTGGTTTTGGAAGAGCAAACACAAACTGCCTAATTTTAAAAGCTGTACAACTTTAGGGTACAAGTCATTGGCTTCTCTGCCAAATGAATGCAGAGCCTAAATTAAGATAACAGATTTGTATCTTGGAACAACAAACTCACTCTGTGTGTGTGTGTGTGTGTGTGTGTGTGTGTGTGAACCTATTTTCATACCCATCTGCTGAGCTGCTGTCACACTATACCAAAAAGCCTGACACTGCACTGTCAGCATGTTATGAAACAAGATAAACTTTAATTACCACAGGACATCTTACTAATACAAATCCTCCATCTTTTTTAAACTACAGCACTTCTAATACTGTTTCTTTATTCTCTTTCAGCAACACTGACAAAAATCTTGAAATGCCAATGCTAAGGAAAGAAAACCAGCTAGAAAATTATTTCTCTGTAACTCCAAATCTGTCTGAAGGAGCCCAAATGGATCATGCTGAGGTGTAGAGGAGGGGAGGGCAGAAATATGAACTCCATAAAATATTATATTGCCAATTCTAGAAAGCTTATGCAATTTTCATTTACTGTTATATTCTCATAATTGCTGTGTTATGCATGCTTTCATAAATTCCTTTAGAAATAAGTGCACTTAGAAATTCTGCTGAGCTATCTATACTTTTTTTTCTGAAATCATTTAACACAGCTCACCTTCAAATTTCCCTACTTACTTGGGCCTAGGAATGTATGACAATCCTTTACACCACAAAACCGTGCTTAAAATCAAGTAGCTGAGTTTAATTTCTGTGCTTTATTTCTAATAATGCCTCCCACCTTTCACTCTCTATGCTTCAAGTTCCCTTCCTATATAATAATAGTAATAATTATCATGTAACTTTGTGAAATGCTTTAGTGTCTACTGCTGAAGAGTGTTATGAGGCAGGGGCCAGTGATTGCCATTGTGGCATCACAGGTGCATTTTAACGGCACAGAAGAGGTGGGTTGCTGAGCACTGCATCTGGAAGAAATGTCTTTTAGGAGCCAACAAACCTTAAAGATTGACTCAGCCATAAGACTCATGGGATTCTTCAAGAAGTACATGAATCACAGCCTCTCCTACCTCACTCAAACCTTTAGCCCAACCTTCCTTGTGCTCCTTTCCTACCAGTGTCCACCTCCCACTGAGCAGGTGTTTCCCAAGCAGCAACATCAATTGCTTCATTAAAGTTAAGAACAACTACAGATAGCACAAAGCAATCAAGTCTCCAGCTCTCTTTTCCTAAAAAAAAAATCTCAGTATACCCTATCCAGTATCTTTGGTAAGGAGTTTCCTTTGTCCCATCCAGCATTCCCAAGGCCCATCCCAGAGCCAGGCAGCCTGCTGATGACAACCAAACTAATGCAATTACATTGTCTGGATCACTATTTTTTAATATTTTCTTCCCTGGCTAGAGTTAAATCTTCTTTTTTTGTGAAGATTGCCTTTTGTGAAGATTTTTGTGCAGGATTGCCTTCCTGCAAACTGAAGGAAAGTTGCTGGTTAAGGTTTCATATCTCCACCTACACATGCTGAGTGCAAACCATCTCAACTTCTTCCCTGACCTTTCTTAGTTTCTGTAAGATTAACCTTCAGGTTTCTTTAGCAACAGCTAAGATACTCTGATATTTTCTGCTTCCAAGATAATCCCTTCTTTGCCAGTCGAGGCCATTTTCCAATTTTATCAGGTTTTCTTTTTATTCCTTACAAACCATTGTGCTACATTCCACTCCCTGCAGCACAAATACAAAGTCTTTAGCTCTAAATATCTTCAGTATTTACCACCTTGGTTTTTTTTCCTGCTGATGACTTCACTAGTCTCCTCCTTTAAATGTTTTGAAAATTAAAAAAAAAAAAAAAAAAAGAGAGAGAGAGATTTTCCTTGTTTTTTCCATAATGGAAAAAAAATTATAAAACTAACTTTTTAACACTGGTCCATTCTTCTTTTCTGGAACATCTTACCCAAGGCTATAGCGACATCACCTCACTTAGCTCAGTTTAGCTGGTAGCAAAGGAGTTTGAGGATGGTGGTAAAAGGGGGACAAATGTACTCGACTGTCAAATTTAGCATCTCCCTGGCGCACATTCGGGAAGCCGAGACCCCTAGCACAACCTCAGGGATTTATTACCTTGTTTCAAGACTGTATAAGACTCAAAACACAAGGTAGTACCCACATAGCGAGGAGCGAGGGCGCCGTCCCCGTTCCTCACCCCTCCGGCACAGGCGGCACTCCCGGGGAGCCGGCGGTGCCACACGTCCCCGCCGCTTCCCGCCGCTCCAGCGCCTGTCCCGACGGCGGGGCTGCGGTGCCTGGGGGTGCCCCGTGTGCCCTGGGGCTGGCCTGGGGTAGACCTGGAGCGGGCAGAGCGGGAGCGGCCGCCGCTCCCGGAGCCCTCGGCGCTCCCGGAGCCCTCGGCGCTCCCGGAGCCCTCGGCGCTCCCGGAGCCCTCGGCGCTCCCAGCCCGTCCCGCGCCGTTCGCGGCCCCGTCGCCAGGAGACGGCGCGCGCGCGCCCCAGCGGGAGGAGCGGGAGGAGCGGGAGGAAGCGGATCCGGGATGGGAGGGCCATCCCCCCTGCACGGGTCACCGCCGGCTCCGCTTCCGGCGCCATGGGCGTGCAGGGGCTCACGGGCTTTGTGGAGGAGCGCGGCGTGTTCTTCACCGAGCTGCGGGTGCGGGACACCAAGCTGGTCATCGACGGCAGCAGCCTGTACCACCGCCTCTGCTTCGCCCCCGACGCCGACTTCCGACGCGGCGGCGACTACGGCGCCTTCGACGCGGCCGTGCGCGACTTCTTCGGCGTCCTGCGGGCCTGCGGCGTCGCGCCCTTCGTGGTGCTGGACGGCGGTCGCGGCGCCGAGGACAGGAAGCTGGCCACGCTGCGGGGCCGCGCCGCCGAGCAGCTGCGGGCGGCCCACGGGCTGTCCCGCGGCGCGGGCGGCTGCCTGGCGCCGCTGCTGACCCGCGAGGCCTTCGTGCAGGCGCTGGGCCGGCTCGGCGTGCCCTTCGTGCAGTGCTTCGCCGAGGCCGACCGGGAGATCGCCGGGCTGGCCAACCGCTGGGGCTGCCCCGTGCTCTCCCTCGACAGCGACTTCTTCGTGTTCGACCTGGCGGGCGGCTACTGCCCGCTGTCCCACTTCCAGTGGCAGAGCGTGCGCATCCCCGCCGCCGCCGCGCCGCAGGGATGCTTCGTGCCCGCGCGCTGCTTCTCCGCCGAGCGGTTCTGCGGGCACTTCGGGAGCCTGAGCAAGGCGCTGCTCCCGCTCTTCGCCGTCATGCACGGCAACGACTTCGTGGGCCTGGAAGCGCTAGAGGCGTTCTTCAGCAAGGTGCGCCTACCGAGGGGCTGCGCGGCGGGCAGGGGCGGGAAGCACCTCCGCCTCCAGGGGCTGCTGAACTGGCTGGCGCAGTTTGCGGAGCCCGCCGAGGCCGTCGACAACGTGCTGAAATACCTCAAGAAACACCAGAGGGAAGAAATACGGGAGCTTCTGTGCACTTCGATGGAGGACTATGCTCCGTCCGACGTGAATCTCGAGGACTTCTTTCAGAATGGGAGCTATGAGTGCGAGGCTGCCAGGAAAGAAGACGTACCACAGTGGGTACTTGATGCTTTTGCGAAAGGTAAGCTGGCCCCGTTCGTCATCAATGCCCTGATACTTAGAAGTACCTTCCTCCGCGTTCAGGTGGAGAACATGCAGAGACCCAGTGCTCATAGCACGGCTTTGCCCATCCGACAAGTTATCTATGGACTGCTTCTGAGAGTATATCACAGTTCTGAAGATGCCTCTCCAAGTAAGCAGACCAACGAGCTGCCCGTTGTATATGAATTTGACAGATGCCAAAAGACACTTAAAAAAACATTTGTTCAAGCAGCAAGCCTACCCCCAGATTTTTGTGATGATCGTTTTCCTTTGGACAAGTTAATGGAGGTAAATGGTTGTCACAACAGATGATAGTTAACAGTGTTTCACGAGTGACACAAAAATAGTAACTACTGTAACACAGAAGTATCTGTGATATGAAGCTACATCAGGTTGTCTTCACTTCCTTTCCTTCCTGCCCCCTCCAAGTGTACTAAGACAAATTATGAGAAGTTGTAGTCTGTGTGTATATACAATATTCCCTATATTTTTCATTGGAAGCCCTTATTTCATCCTATGTATTTTGTTACACTAATACTTGCTTTTTTGGGGAAGGATTTCAGTTTCGTATAGTTTAGAAAGTCCGATTTTAACACTACAAAACCTAATTTGTATTTGATCAAGTGTGTAATGTTTCAGAGCAATGCTCTTAAACAAAATCTGACCCATGCCTTTTTACTAGAAGCCATTATTTCATCTGTGAATGTTGCAGCTGCCCAGCAGCTTTACCTGCCCCGAGTGTGCTCCTGCTAACATGGCTCTGATGCTTGTCAGACAGAGCAGAACAGCACCTAAAAAAAAACCTGTAAACCACAGGAAAGTTGGTTCCAGTCACCATTGTAGCACTTCAATGTGAAGTCTAATGATTAAGACTGTAAGTCTTGCCATAATGGGAAGTAATCTCCCATTCTCGAAGTTGCATAACTGAGGTTTTATATGCAGAAATTTCTGCAATGTCCAGAAATACAATCCATGTGTTTTAATTCCGCATTTTTAAGGCACATATGGTCTATCCATTCTGGCAGTTAGATCGACTGCTGACATATTGAATGTTGAATGTTTTTATCACTTGCTGGTGGCACCTTTATAAAGGAACCAAGCCTATCACTGCTACACCCATTAAATGTTACAGATAGCTATGGGTCCAAAGTACAGGTTTCTTTACATACATTATTGGCACACACCTTTTAAACAATATGCAACACTTAAAGAGTTTCAAAAAATCAAGTTTCATGTTAAGAGACATTAATGACACCCTACTTCAACCTTGGTGTGTGTGCTGTTTGTTTAATGAATTTGAGCTATGCTACTACAACAATTTTCCTTAGTGAGTATATAGGAAATCTCGATTGAACAAAAGGTTAGAAGAAGAAATATTCAGCATTTAAAGTGCTCCAGGCAAAACTGACTTCACTTGCTCTTCTGTTGTGGGAGTGTCTGCCTAAGAGTAGGCAAAACAATCCCAATCAAGGTTTACAAAGAACTCAGATTGCAGCTGAACAGCCTGCTGCAATTCTGCATGCATGGAGTTATGGACAAAGCGTATAACACTACTTTCTGGAAGTTAAATGGCTCAGCAAAAAGGGGAACATGTGCTAGGAATTAATTACTTATTAGTTACTTTTATCTTTCTCCCTGACATTTAACTGTGTCATTTTTTAAGTCTTAAGTAGTATTTAAAAAAATATTTCCTGTTCAGAATATCTATGAAACTGAAATAATTTTTTTATCAAAAACCTATAGTGGTAACTAATTTAACCAGGAACTTACTGGTCTTTTAGAAATTGCTCACAACAGATCAAGTCTCTTACCTCCAATTTTTAAATTTATTTTCAGGTGCCTGTTTCATCCCGTCAGATGCTTTTGCTGGAGACTCTGGGAGTGAAAATGAGTTCCCTAGAACCTATCCCAAGTCATTTACAACTCCCTGTTGCTGTAACCTGTTACTGGATACGTTGTTCAGAACCAAAAGTTAAGCTGAACCAATTAAAGGCTCTGCTTCTAATAATAGTTTCTGGAGAACTGCAGAGGATAACTGATGATCCAGGTATGTCTCCAAAGAATACAGCTTTAGGTGTTCAGCTACTACAGAAATCCAGACCACAACTCATTTTTCCACACTTATAGGGAGTCGTCCAAATTTAGAGGAATTAGCCTTGATTTGCACTATATCCTGAGGTGTCACACTCTGTGCATTGATATGCACAAAGAAAAAGTGCTAACCATCACTTTAACATTTTATATAGGTAAAACAGTACTTTAACACATTGTAAAACCTTAATTTGCATTCATAAGTACTATCTTTAGGATCAAAATTAATTCAGATATAAAAGTTACCAAAAATATGCTTAACGTACTCAGGCATCAAAAAACTACTACTGAAGCATTCCAATATTTTTTTAATGAGTTTTTCTAAAAACATTTGTATTAAAAATGCTGAATTGCCCGGGCACACTTTTTCTGCCTACGCATTGCAAATTTGAAAGTATTAAATAATCACAGAAATTGCTTCAGTAATGTTGATTCCTGTTAGGGTTATGGACATTTCCTCCATGAGTCCTTCATTTGATGGCAAAGACGATGCATGCCAGGATTATACAGTTTCTTTAAGTTTTGGTTTGTAGAAACCAGACTGACAGGGTTTCCAAGTGGGTTGTAGTGAGATGGAAAGCTTGTTCACACAGAATCAATTAGGTTGGAAAAGACCTCTGAAATCAGAGAGTCCAACCCATGACTGAGCAAAAACCACCCTTTCAAGCAGACCATGGCACTGAGTGCCACATCCAGTCTTCCTTAAACACCTCCAGGGACAATGACTCCACCACCTCCTGGGGCAGCCCATTCCAGTGTCTAATCACCCTTTCTGGGAAGAAATTCCTCGTAATGTCCAACCTAAACCTCCCCTGGTGCAACTTAAGGCCATTTCTCCTTGCCCTATCGATTGTGACCTGGGAGAAGAGACCACCCCACCTGGGCTACACCCTCCTTTCAGGCAGAACCAGGGAAAAGACATTACTCTATACATTGTAGATACCTTTTGTACTGTTCACAGCAGAACAGTTATTACCAAGTTATTTTTTTATTTATAACCTAGATCCCACAGTTCTACCTGCTGAAGATGACAGCGTTGCGTATAACAAATTTCTAAAATGGAAGGAAAAACACTTGCAAAATAACGATTTTGATTTAGATGCTGCACACAGTTTTTGCCAATGGCAGTGCTGTCTTCAGATGGGATTGTATCTCAACCAGCTACTGGGTACTCCTCTCTCTGAACCAGACCTAAGTAGGTAAGGTTGTTCCAGAGATCTGCTTTCCACACATTCCTGATGGAATGAATGTTTCATTTTCTCTGTCAAACTCCTTTGGTTTACTTACAGCAAAACTCCCTTCTTAAAAGGAGTTATAAAGAAAAAGCACTTTTTATAAAGAAAAATACATTTGGCATAGGAGTTGACTGTTGGATACTGTATGTTTTTGTCATCAAGCAACATGTTTCTGTACCTGTCCTGTTGAGGTGCAATTCTAAATGCAGATTTTCTCCTTTTGAGCAGGCTTTACACAGGGACCCTTGTGCACAGACTGTATCAAGAGCTTAAATCAGCACCTTCAGTGGAAAATCTGTTTCTCTTATCTCCAAAAATGGCTCAGCTTTATCTGGTTTTGTTAAATACAGTGGAGTCAATGGTCTCTCCAGACTTCTTTCAGAAGACCAAGACCAGATCAGAGTCCTGCAAAAAGAGGAAAGCATCTCATAAGAAAAAAACAGCCACCCGACGTGCAGTGCCAGAAACTCAGCATTTATGCAATGTTAACAGGTTTGCAGCACTGGAAGTGGATGACTGAAAGCATTATTCTTGGAATAACTTCTAATGCCATGCTGATGAAAGAAGTAACATTAAAATATGTGACTGCATTGGAATTTGCTCAACTGTTTTCACACAAGTTTTTGATTCAATCTTTACCAAAAACCTTGCCTCAGGGGATTTTTATTTACCTTTTTGTAACTTGCATTTTGTAGCTTTACATTTTGTAATTTACATTTGTATAAAAGAAATGCTGTCTAAAAGTTGTGGTGTTTCGTTTTTCTTTAAGGGTATCAGTCTAATTGAAAATGAGAGCAAATTTGTTCAGCATTTCAAAGCAGGACTATTTTAGAGGAATTATTTTCCTGAACATTTATAGTTGGCTCTGCCTCATCTCCCTGAACGCTCCATTTACAAAAAATCCAACTTTAAAGTTTGTGTTTTAGGAACACAGTGGTCACAGTCTAACAGTTGAGATTAAAATAGAAACTGACAGGCTTAAAAATACTGTAAAATCAGTCATTACTGGTGGAGTACTTTTACTTGCAGGGAGAGAGAGGTAGCTTTGCTCAGTGAAAACTAAGTTATGCTTTCAGTATTACAGGCTCTGACAATACTCAGGGAGAAACTTCAGATTTTATTTCTCCCCCTTCCCCCTGTGATGTGTTAAAGAAAGAGTTACATGCACACACAAAGCTGTCACATGGGAGCAAGTTTCTACAGGTTTGCTAATTCTCAGTAGTTGTCACAGTAATTGTGTAAATCCTCTGCTATTAAAGCTGTCGTCACTCTTATTCTTTCTACAATGGCTTTATGAAAAACCAGACCCATTCTGACTTCCCCTATATACACTAATTACTTAATAAACCCTTGCTATCAACATGGTAATACTGAAAAACAATTTATGATTTTTTTTTTAATCCTCCATCATCTGTTTCTCAGTGCTTTGCATTAGCAAACATTCCAGCATAATTAGTCAATTTATATAAATACTTTTCTTATTAAACTATTGGTTTTCCCTATGTAAAACATAGTTACAATTGTGCTTTTTCTTCTCAAGAATCCACATATATTTTCTTGCATGTAGGAAAATCATGACTTCAACTTCTAATCACCAAAGTTTTGCCCATAACTTACCAGAATTCAAGCTTGATTCCTGCATTGTGTGCTCAAGTTTTCAGTCCTGCTTATGCTTCCTATTACCTGTTCCCATGGAAGTAACTCACTGTCTCTTAGGATTTAGAGGAAAGATCTCTTATACTGTACAGCTGAGTGTTGATACTGCCCAAATATAGTCAGTGAGAAAATAATAGATCTGTAAGATGTTACAGAGAAAACTAGTATTGAGATACAGCCTGTCCTAGCAAGATGTAACTTGTTTTCCAGTAGAAAAGCTGCTACTTACTGAACTACCAGCAGATGGCACGAACACACAACCACAAGCCAGCCCCTCACAACCCATTTCTCTATAGGTTTCTATGTAGAGCAACCTCCAGCATCATTTTACCATCAGATGACTTTTAAATAAAAGTTGAAAGGGGCTAGTTACTGATTTTACTAACTAAACCTGAAATTCTTTATTGTCCAAATCATCCTCTTCTCCATTATTATCTCCACATGCTTTATTTTACCAAGCTTGTAATTCCCTATAGTTTTTAATCATCAGAAATAGTCACATTAAAAATAAGTCTTAAATATAAAAAGGAAGGTGTATTTGATTCCACTTTCTTAGTGCTGGTGAGAAGAGCTATCTTTATTTACTCTGAATTCTGTATCAGAAAACTGCTAGAGATCATAAAAATTCTTGAGAGTTGCTAAGAAACCCTATTTTCAATTAGATAATCCAGAAGACTAGAATAAGGTCAAATATTCCATTTGGGGATTAAAAACACTGCTATGACCACATGGCATTTTGAGAATACCTTTGGGAAAGCTGACTCAGTTAAGAATTACTGTAGTGGAACTATGTTCTCAATGCAGAATTCAGCTGTTCTATATTGCTAATGAAATGATACACACTCATGCAAAACCCAGTCCTGTAGGCTGAAGAAAATAATTACTGATTCTAGGGTTACCATGCAGAATTTAAATATTACAGTTTTCCTTTTTGACTCATTATATGTCTTTCATCTTCTTTGTAGGAAAATTAAAAAATAAAGGGCCTTTACTTATTAAAACCAAAATTCTTTGTTCCATGCTTCAGTAGAAGCAAGTAAATTCCTCAGTTGTTGCTTTTTTCTACCCCATAAGAAATGCCTCTTCATTTTTATGGAAAAGTTCCCACTATTGATTCAACTGCTCTGGGAAAAAATCTCTCAAACCTGCTGTAAAGTGCTAATGAATCACAAGACAAGCCAAAATAATGGCAATGGAATTCAGTCCAGGCATGTTTTATATATAATGACATTGAATTAGATTTATTATTTGTTAGTATTTTGCCTTCCATTGGAAAACAGCAGAAAAAATCTGGAAAATTTCAGTGAACTACATTCAACTAAGCCCACCCTGCAATAAGGCAAAATTGTTCTTTAGAGACTGAAATTTTATTTGTCTAGAATAACATACCTTATTCAGAAAGCGGGACTTGTGCTGGGAAAGGGGCACTTGGTAACATTTGTTTAAAGTAACATTTGTTTAAAGACTTAGCAATGACAGTTCCAAGCTAAGACAACAATCTAGCATTCATCTGTACTTACCTAGATTTCTGGGACTCCAAAACCAAAAGCAGAGCACAAAGCAGTCAAATCCCATGGAGGAATATCAACCACAAGTTAAGAGTTACTATGTGAAAGCTATAGCTGCTGTCCCTTCACAAAATCAAAGTTTGTTCGAGATTCTTCATCAGCATGCACTGTCAGCTCTTACTATCTGTCTTTATTAATGAATTGCTCTGAAATTGTATTGAAATACTGAACACACTACAATATTGAACAGCTACAGCCCCACTTGCCAAAGACAGTAATTGTTCAACAACTATCCAATTTGTCCAACCTCTGAAAGGCTGAACTGCTTTAAGTAAGAAACTTCTGCTTGAAGACACAAGAGCACTTCTGTAAGAGGTCATGTTGTTCAGGCCCTCCCAGCTCAGTGGTAACAGCCCCAGGAAGAGATGAGGGCCAAGTGCTGCAGGATCTTTGTCTTTACACAATCACATCTCCAGCACATTGGTAGTCCAGGTATTATAGACATATTGAAGGTCAGGAAAAGCCATAGATGAACTGCATGTATAAAGCAGACTGAATGTGCATTCATGCCCTGTCTTCAGCTCCATTTCCTGGCAAAGTTTAGGAATCCCACAGGCAAAAAGAAGAAAACAATTCCAGTAACATTCGCAGAGAAATTAATTAAACTGCACTTTTGAGCATGTCATGTGGGCCAAGTCACAATGGCAAGTGTAGAAATACTCCAGTGTCTATTGATGACAATTCCTCCTCAAATGACAGGATGAGCACTGAAAATGTGGACCAGAGCAATGCCACCGCCACATTTTCAGGCTACAGTGAGGAGAGATGCACATGCACAAGTTTACAAGGGAAAGAAATACCACTGTGTTTTTGACTTTCCCCAGGAATCTTTAGACATCCTCTTTTCAAGATGCTTTGGGTGATAGTTCCTCGCATTTCCTGAAAGGACGATGAGATGACACCGATGACAACAGGGCAAGACTATTTTGAGGAAAAGCACTATTTCCTATTAGTGAATATTAAGAGTATTCAGACATTGTAATATATTAAAAATCATTTTACAATGTCAAAACAAATCTACTATAATGCTTTTCTAGCTCCAAAAGTAATTCTGTAGGTTAAAATTCAAAGTTACCCTACTAGGAAAAAGCGGGTTTTTTTATGAACAGGAAGGAAGGAAAATGAAGCTTCTTTGAGAGAGGAATGGGAGTTTTTTGCCCAGGCAGGATTATTGCATTAATTTTCTAATTCAGTACACTACAGATAATTTCCATAATTACTGTCTTATAAATCACTCAAGTGATCTCACAGTCATAAGCTAAAGTCAATATGGAACAAGACATGAAACAAAGCCTGTATCTGCAACGATATCAAAACAAGCTCGTTCACTTCATGTAAATGCCAGTTTCTTTTAAAACAAAGACACAACACACTTATAAGAAAAGCAAACATTTACTTCAAATTGCAGTATAGGCTTTTCAATCACAGAAAAAGAAAAGAAAAACAGTGATCCGACAGCGGTCACATCCTGTGCAAAAAAAACCCAAACTTGGGATACAAAAAAACTGTAGCACAAGGTACTTGAGCCGCTTACACATTGCAGGATAAAGTAAATAAATACAGTAGCTAGAATATGGCACTCTTGTGACAGACTCTAAACCCAGTGGAATGCCTCTGAAATATTTTTATCCTTGTATTAGTAGCAAAGTCCCACCACCATAAAAGTAGAATAGTACAATGCTTTAAATAAAAACAAACTAAAATATTTATATCTAAGAGAAGAATTTTACACAGTTATATCTTTTAAGTGCAGAAAATGGGACTTGGGCTTAGATCTTTCTTTAAATTAATCCCTGCCCCCTCCCCCCCACAATACCATTCAATCTTAAAAGTAAATTTATGTTTGAGGAAAAATGTTACCAAAGTTGCATAATTTCATTTGTTACTTCCACAGCTGGAAGTTAAATTCTAAACAGTCTTGAAACATGAAGTTCCTCATTAGCCAGTAAAACAAAGGACTTGTCAAAAGCCCTCAATTTCTTTAGCCTCCAGATAGTGTTTTGCTTTCTCCAACATCCTTAGACAGCAATCGCTAAGTTTGCAAACACAGGAATGCAATATGCATCATACATCAAGAAAAGACGAAGTTGATGAAGAAGAACTTCCACGTTTCTGGATCTTTTCCTTGCTTCTTTCAAACTTCTTTATCAGCTCAGTCACTATGCACACAGAGGAAGTAAGTCCCAGAAGAAACAGCAAATCTGGAAAAGATAATTAGCCTTCTTTAAAATTGCTATTTAAGGCTAAGGGGAGACACAAAAAAGAACAAGATTGACAAGACTTTCAAATTTTCTCCCAGTCATTGGGAAAGTTCAGGAGAAATCAAGCAAAATTCAATATTTTGCAGGCCCAGAAGATTAACATGCATGGTTTATTCACAAGTCATAACTACACACAAGATATTAAAAGCTTTTAAAGTATCTCATAGACTTATTTTCAGCAACATAATTAACTTAATTCTAAAAAATAATATTAATATAATCAGAAATTATGCTACAATAAATAACAAGTAT